AGGGAGGAGGGAGGTAGGTAGGTAGGTAGGTAGGTAGGTAGGTAGGTAGGTAGGTGTGCATATATATACACACACATATATATGCCTGGTTATAATATTTATATATATATATGTATATATTTATATATATATATATGTATATATATATATATATATTTTTGTTCACTTAATGAGTGTGTATTTGTGTTGCAGTGACGGTGCCATTTGTGATAATATCGATGCTTATCAGGCACCTGTCTACTTGATATATTCTGGTTGTGATACAAGGCAGCATGACCTGTAAAGCTACAGTATCTCACTTTGCGAAGTATCCGATTGCGAACCCATGCCGCCAGACCTTCTTTGCCGTGAGCCGCAGCAAAAGGCCGGCCGGGGCTTCGTCTCACCTCGAAGATAGGTTGCTTAATCTACCAGAAAAAAGAGTCGCTGGGTTTGGGAAGGTGTCTCCTTCGCAATGGAGGCAATTGGTGCCACTGTCGCACCGGGGTCTTACCCGCGTACCTTTCCACCTGTGCAGTGCCATGTCAAGTGATGAATATGGAATTATGACACGATGTGATGCTCCACCCAATGATGCAGGTGGGTCGCTGTTTCAGCACGCCGCCAATACATTCGGTGGCTCGAGTTTCAGAGGGGTCTACGGGAGCCCGCGGGGAACGCAATTCCGAGGAGGAGCGCCTGGGGGTGGGACGGGCGTCAGGGCCATTGACGAGTGCGTATTCTCGAGAAAGAATATACTATCCTTGTTGATTGCAATGCAACCCACCACTTCCGAAGTGTGTATCGTTGCAAGCAGCATGCGGATGTTTCCTATCACTTGCTAGAACGGGTTCCAGCGTTTGGCTTCAGTCAGTCGTGCTTGATTGGAGCGGACAGAAAATCATAATCATAGCAAGAATAATGATAATGCTCGCAACAACAATAACAATAGTCGTAGTACTCTAAATCCGGCTATGCTGTAGCCTCCCAGGAGGTGACTGTCAAACCGTGAGTCCAGACGCAAAACTAAAGCCTCTCCATACCCCAGGCCATATTCTCAACCTTGCATGTTCTCAACCCTCAAGCCCGAACTCGAAGCGCTCAGCAGGTCTGTCTCTGTCTCTGTCTCTGTCTCTGTCTCTGTCCCTGTCTGTCTCTCTCTCGCTCTCCCTCGCCCTCTCTCTCTTTTTCTCACCCGTAAAGGCCATAGAAGGCTTCGTCAGCGCAACACGACTGGTAGTTTTGCACCTTGTGCGCGCCGATTGCGAGGCCAGCAGCTGAAAAGCTGCTTTCAGACATGTGCGCCTGGCATAACAGAGAAAAGTACCGGCTGTGCCCGCACATTACAGCATGTGGTTCGGTACCCTTCTCCGCTGAAAGCCCCCTAGACTGATCCCATACCAATCCGGTGTAGTCTCTTATAGGTTCCGCAAGGAAGCCTATTCTTCTCCGATTCTTGTCCCATATTTCACGGCCTCACCTGCTGGCGAGGGCGTTCGATCGACAAAGAATGGCTCCACCAGAACCACAGGCCGGACCGGGATTGCTAGTATTCTTACTGTTACTGTTTTATCTCATATGGCAAAACTGATGCTGCTACTGTTACCGCTACTATTACTGTTGCTATTACCATTGCTCGGCCAGGGCTTTCAAGTTTTCGTTGAGGGTTTAAACTTGTCAGGATTCAGGACTCTGAGCGCTTCAGGGCTTTGGGTTTAGGTTGCGTGTCAGGTTTGGCGTTGGGGGTTGTAAGGAGTAGTCATACTACTTACAGTCTGTTTTAGGGTCCCTCATGTGTTGAAACTCCCACATCGGGCTAAGATTGTTGATTGCTGCTGGTTGGTACTTATCGGCTGATCATTGCTGCTTTTC